ACAGGCCTCGTGCTACTTCACATACCTAGGTAATCCGTTTGGAGCTTTTCACATGACAACTCAAATGCCTCCCTAGTTCCTGAGCCAAAATTCACAGGCCATAATTTTGAGCAGAGGAACAATTCCGATCGAGGTACTCCAGATTCCTGGAATATCAAAGGGTAGAAATGAAGGAAATGTGCGGTTCAACGCTCATTAGGTTTTGAGAAAAACACGAGCAAGGGGTATTTCAGGACGGAGAGACCTTCACAAAGCAGTTCTTCGCATATCTTAGGGGGGAGGGTGGTAGTTAGGAGAGGGGTGTAAAGGAAGATGAATTTTCCTGATCAAATCAAAGGGAATACAAGTTTTGGCGCTATCGCAAGATACGGGGGAGGGGTGGATTGTGGCTGCAGTGCATTTAGAATCGCGCGAAATATGCCCTTTTTGATAAAAACGAGCCTAACCCCTCCTCCTATGCTATGTCTTGAAGGATGCCCCCGTATATTGCGATAGTGCCCAAATTTCTTGGCAATTTTTCAGGTTCAAAACTCGAACACCGTCTACGATTAGTATATATAAACATATTTGAGAAGTCATAAGGTCAAAGGGTTTTCGTAGTGCAAAAAGGGTGCAGGCACATAGAGGCCCCACGATTTGGAAATTGGGAGGTGTGAAATTCTGCCCTACGGGCACCGTACGGTGTGCCAGCTAGTCAGCCTTTTTCGCATTCTAAAGTCCGCTCAGCGAAAGAATCGAGCCGGCTTCGTTGTTTACTGTACTTCTTTCTAGAACATGTGAGAAACCACTTTGGGAGAGTGCTCCACTTTCTGAACGACCTTCCTCGCCCTTCTAGTCAAGCAAATTGAACAAGTAACAAGTGGGTACCTTCCATGCAAAGCCGAGTTCCCGTTCAACGCCATACCGGCGGGCCGTGTCGATCATACGGTATCCACAATTTCGTAGAGCATGGATCACCACATCGTGATAGTAGCCACCGGAATGAGTTGTTCCTGAAAAAAGTTATTTTCAGGTTTAAGTTTTGATGTTATTTGTATAACTTATTACTTTTTTTATTTTTCAATAATTCTAGAAGGTTTGGCACGTATTGGTTAGCGTTTCTCATCGCTAACGCTTTTTTCGGTTGCAGACCGTCACCGAATTCCAGTAACATAGCCTGGCAAAGTGCCACGGCCCGTTCCGAATCCATTTTCATTTGTTTGGGCATGGTGCCACAGTGCGAGCAGAGCAGGCAACTAGGAGCAGTGGACGCTGGCTGCCGTTCGCTGAGCATAGAAATGGGCTGCGCTGGTGAGCATGGAACACAACGTGATCTACTCTTCGACAACGTGCGACATCCCGAACATATGCTCTAAACGTCGAGATCTACGAATAAGAAACTAATCTGGAGGCGAAGAGGACGGAACGCAGTTTTCTAACAAGGAATGGTCAATTGGTCGGTCCGGTCTTGTAATGAGGTGTAGTCTGATAAACGCGTCTCGCGACGCTGATGGCGAGCTCATCGTTTTCTCGGTTGTTTGCCGAACAATTCTCTTTGAAATAAGTTTTGAGGATTTTCTCACTGTGCGCTACTCCTCCTATTTCCCAATTCGCTGTCAATTAGGAAGACCCGCAGCAATTTTGATTTGGCGTGGCTGTAGTGGGATAGTGCTTCTTGCTCATAGGGACAAGATCAACCGTTCGAATCTTGCCTAGCAGGATTTTGATTTCAGGCCTGCTATACGAGCAAGAAAGCGCTTTTATTGTATTTTGTTACCTTTTCTGTTCGTTCGTTCCTGTTCTTATGCAGAAGTGGGACGTTGAGAGCGCGCCAGCAGTGAGAAGAATCGTCTGTGGTTCTCACTGTGCGCCCAGAGAATCCCTTCGTTCAGAGAATCGTTCAGCAAAAACCGAAAACGGGTATGAGCTCAGCGTCGCAAGAAGCGTGCATCGGACTACACCTCATTGCAAATGGCCGGACCGATTATTTGACAGTCCTTGTAAGCAGGATAGGATTTCAAATTACCTAGTCGTGAATAGATCCCATTGAAGAACCCAAGAGAGAGAGAGCCAAAAGAAAAGGGATCTGTTTCAAAGCCTTCGGAAGCATCAAAGAACTTTTTATCAAAAATATCCTTCCCAGAAAGTCCCGGCTGACCCCTTGTTTCTTGCCCTGAAGTGTTCAGAAAGAGGGTTTATTTTTGAGCCAATGGAGACAAGTCACTTGATCCTACATCGAGTAACTTTCCGTCTCATAATACCCTTTGCGGAGGATGACCCTCTGTTCCTTCCCTTTTCGTGTGTCGATCCAAAGCGTGTCCTGAATGGGAGCGCTTTCCAACAACGAGGACAAATCGAGCTCGCAGCAATTGAAATTAACCTTCGCTCAATTTCCAAAATTCCATCTTTTATGCAATTAAAGTGGGGTAATTTTTTATTACTTCATTTCACTTCATTTATTACGCCCAAATTATCAAACAACCAAATTGGAATATCTCAAAACTATATTGTTATTAGAAGATTATTACAGTCCTGACGCTGTGTATGACAATCTTCTTTACTCCATTCATCCATTTTTATTTTTCATCGCACCTTTATAGGGACAGAACCAGATTTATGTACTCAACAAACTGAACAAATTAATAAATAAATGGTCCTAAGCAGCTGCAATCAAGTGAATATCGTCGTGGTCAGTTCCCCCTTAAACCATATGTTAAGTTCAGACTCTTATAAATATGCTTCCACGTGGCCGAACAAGTGATTGTGACTGACGACCTTAGCGCAAGTCATAGATCACTCTGCTATCTCCGTGCCCACATTCCATCAGACCATCTGCATTTTAGCGCCGGCGTTCGCTCGTTCACGTGCAGAGTCTGCATCATGAAGACGTCAGCAGATCGAAAATACAAAGCGACTGAAAGGCAGGAACCAAACATCAAAAGTTCAAAATGGTGGAGGATACACTCAAAGATAGATTGGATCTGCGCCCTCACAACTTTGCTTTCAGAGTAAAGATCATTTCGGGAAAATGCAACGGTAAATAACTATGGAAAACGATCCATGATAAATGTAAATAAAACAACCTACGGTCAGGACAACAAAGAGTCTGCAAGTTCGGAACCTTAATCGTCGCGACTATTTCTATCATTAAAAACCAGGTCACTCCCTTTGAAGGGTTCGATCAAGTTATGTGATCCGAATAAAGTTAGGAAGAATTGATGACGCAGGAACCCTCCCAAGTCGATGGAGCTGATTTTCGTGTCCAAAAGGAAGTTAGGGGCTTCCACCCGGTAACAGTCCCATCATTCATGCATTCTCTTAGTTCCTTCTCGAAACTTCAGCATTTGCCCCCAATATGACGGTTCCGCTTATTTGGTATGTTAAGCCACCCACTTTTCTTGTATGAGCCTGATCGATGATGAAGCCAAACTAAATTACAAGCGTTCATTTAAGAACGTATCGACCAGCCAGCGCTACTCCAGTTCCGTCTATCCGTCTTTGCACAGGCACTTTATCTTTTGCAACGAGTATATATTCGATAACTTCTCACCGCGCCTGCTAAATAGCCCTAGAATATCTGGAAGCCAAAAACAATGACTGGGAAAGAAGCGCCCTCTGCCAGTCTCAATAAGAATAGAACGATTTATTCAACGCCAGTTCCACAACAAACCCTTTCTTTGAGCGATTCTGTGCCGGTCATCCTCCTTGCTTTATTCTGAGAAACGAACTCCTCAATCTGCACGCAACAAGTTGAAAATGGACCATGATCGGCTCCCTTCAATCTCGACCCGACCCTCTGTTGGCCTTATGCAATCCGGTTCACTCCGGGTTCCCTCTATCCTTTTGGAGACACCCTCGGAACTTGGCACAGATAAAGCTCCCCCCCAAAAACTGGATCCTAATTTCCCCCACAGCTCCGGTTGTCGTTAACTCAGGTTTCCGACATCGCTAATGATTTTTTAATCCCTAGATCTTCTATCGTGTAACTTGAAAAGAATTCGACATGATTTTCACCCTATACGGTTTAGACTTTCCATACAAACCGCGGCAGAGGCGATTTTGCTGAGAAATCGTCAGTCAACTAAATTCTTTACAATCTCGGCGGCCTATACGAAACAGAAATACTTGAATAACGAGTTTGGTTAAACAAAGAATGAAGGAAGGGTAAGCCCTGGAAACCCGGTTTGAGCATTTTTTTTGCCGCACAAGTACACGTCTTCTTTTTTTGGGCAAGTCCTAAGCCGGCAATTTGCCCTTACCCTAACGCATGGCTGCACTTTCGGCGACTCCCTTTTGCACGTGCACGATCGTCGATCTCAAGGGTATTATTCTGCTGTAAACACGTCAATACTGCAATGCACGTGGACAATGCCCGTGCCAAAAATAGCGCACAAGGAGAATGCGAAGAGGCTGGCTATGATTATCACTCCACGACTAAGACCAGTTATTACGGTTCCGGCCGACAGTGTGCGTTTTACTTCACGCTTCTTGCTACCAAGTCAGGCCATTCCCAGTATGGCTATTTGGGATCAAATCGAAAAAAATGATGCCAATTTTGAGGGTTTTTTTTTCGCCAAGATGGAACGGAACCCTTTTTTTCTTCCCGTTCATCCCCTTTAAAAATTTGTTGAACAACCTTAACTGTCAACCAAATTACTTCCAATAATGCAAACAAACAAAAGCACTTAGCGGGTAGCGCTCGCTTCTTGGGTAAAGCCGGCAAGAAAAACAACAGAGCTCTTTGGGAGCGCCATTCAAACGCAATGCATTTGAAGGTCGTGAGGTTGACAACGCAAGCGGTCCCACCTTTGGGTTGAAGTCGCATATAATCAAAATAAAAACAATTGCTCCAATGACCGCTGCGGTCTTCCAATTCCAATTTCTGGCTCAGAAAGTAAGTGCTTTTTGCGTCCAAGTGTGTTTCGCTGCCTCTACTCTATGCAGATGTGCCGTCCTCTAACCACTAAAGCAACACGAACTACGACGTCATTCTAGTCCCATCTTGCCGACTTAATCGCAAATGTGATGATCAAAACCAGCGCTTTTTCCTCGGTGAACTTTCAGACATGTGGTGAGCGCACGTGAGAGAAGTCAGCTCCATCCGCCCGCAACAAACAGCGGCGATTACCGTAGCGAAATTTGCAAATTATTGTAAACAGAGTGGGTGTTGTCGCAGTAAAAGTGCATTTGGCCCAATTTCGCCAGGAAAAAGGATGAAAGTGGTGCAGAATGTTCCCCCGCGCCTGCCCAAACATCGTCCTCTTTCATAATAAAAGATCGCTTTTGAGAAAAGGCCATCTATGTTTTTCCATCCTGCCTGCACCTACCGTAATTTAATGGCAATATTGACTTCTGCACTCATAAATCAAGCGCGTTTCACGCCGCCCTCCTCCGGCAAGTGTTCATGAATCGCAGAAAAATAAAGCTAAAGGAACATTAAAAACTAATCACAGAGCAGATCCATAAAAGAGAGGGTTTTGAAAAAAACTACGTCAAAGGTGATACCTCATTAACTGAAAATGGGTTAACGGATTCCGACTAACGACATGAGGACTGCGCCTCGGCATTAAATTTCCGCTCAAAAAATTACGAGTTTTGAGTATTCGGCTGTAATACGCCTTGGCCTCGGATATTGATGAAAAATTTACTCGTCTAACGATTTGCAGCAATTACTACTTCGGAACCTCTTTAGGAGGCAACATTATTAGACACCCGTTTTTTTAATGTTCTTAGAACACTAGCTAGCTAGAGCGCTTCTCTCAACATTTCTAAAGTCCCCCCCTGTCCCCCTTAATTCCCTTCCACCCCCCCCTTTCCGGCATTTTCAAGGTCACTGGCGTCCTGATATGACAAGATCACTCGCCTAGACATTTCTGCGCATTATGCAACCGACGGCAACAGGCAATCAAACCTTCTAGTTATCTCTCCAATATCAACCACATTATAATATTTGTAATCTCCAGGATGCTAAATTGTGGCAACACAGCCTCTCGGTGGAATCCAACCCGCATCTCTCTTCTGGCATTGTGTACTCTAACTACGCCAATAATTTATATTTCTTATTATGTTTATTCCACGTAGTCTCCAGTTCCATCAATTTTAGATTGAGGACATTTCACCTTACCGCGATACGCTAACAGCGCCAATCTCAACCCAAATATTATGGTTTTGATTATTTTACGCTGGGATTGGTTCGGCCGGTTTAATATGTACCGTAACGTGCCCAACATTTTCGACCGTAGCTATCAGCATACGGTAGCTCAAGAAACTTTAAACCTCCATTGAATGAAGAGTTTTAAGGCCGTTCTGACAAAGCCTGACTAACAAGTCAAATGGACCAACCTAATCCTAGCAGAGGCATTTCGACTCGATTGGCTAAAGAGACCGTGGGCACTGGAGCAGACGAAGAAGACGCCTCCAGCTCACGATCACAGACTTCATCATAACATCGTTCCGACGTCAGAATGGCTGAAAAATTGGGCTTTACCTGGTTAAACTTCTGGGAAGCACATTACTCTTACCATTTTTGAAGGTGCAGTGTGAAGGAGGATCGTACCATTCGTGAAAGAGACGAGACCATTTAGTAAGATAAGACTGACCAGCTTATTGAAACACATAAGCCGGACAATGTGTGGCGTTAACTCAATATATAAAATTGTACCAAGTGAACATTAAACGTTGGCAAAACAACATCGCCATGACCTGGCACCCAACGGTGGCTGGCAGAAGGGTCGCAAACGCTGCCGCAGGAGAACTGCAAACGGTGCTGCAAGAGGGCTGCGAAGCCAGCTGCCGAAGACCCTCTTTCCCAATGAATTTCGTGGAAACTAGAGAGATGAGAAGGAAATGAAGGGGAGCGGAGCGCACGAGACCCGAGGCATGCTTTAAAATGAAAGCAGGCGAAACGACTTATGGCCAAGTTTTTGCAACACAAGGCGCTGGCGCGACCAGCTGTGGCGCAGTCCTCTCGGCCAGCTGTTGTCATAGGGACCAAAAGGAAGGACAAAACACTTTGGATAGGATGATTGGTGAGAGATAAACCAGAATTATGGTTTCGAAAAAAAGCACCAGCTCCAATTGTCATAGGACCAAAAGGAAGGGACAGAAACGACTTCTGGATAGGCTGATTGGGAGAAGATAAGAGCAAAATAGGTTTCAAGGAAAAGCACCGGCTCCTAAACGAACGAATTATTCATCTGTGTCATTACTATCGGAACACATGGGGAAAGGGGGCTAGAACGATTTCGTGCACAGAGGTAGTATAGCCATTCATCGATCATCAACATATCACACCGACAAAATGAAATATCCCCCAAAAGAAGGGCAGATGGAGAGAATGACTGGGAGAAGAACGGTGCCCAAAGCTATCGCTAAGGCGAGAAAGGAACGTCGCGCGGCGAGTATAGCGACGAATTTTCGAAAGTAATGACCGCCTACGAGCGAAAGAGGATGAATGACAAGTTTCGCAATGATAATTGAAAGTGCAAATCCGTATAGCAGCAGGTGCAATGGTGACTAAACAAAGGGTTGCACTTCTGCGTCAATGGCTGGGCGCGAGCGAGCGCTACTATGGCACGCACCACTCTCGAGCAGTGCAAAGCGCCCGTCTGGCGGACGACGTCGATGGGGGCGGTCTGACCCTGGTGACGTTGCTGCGTTTGCGAATGAATTGCAGAACTAATCGATAGCCCCGGGAGACGAAAAAATTTGCAGGGCGCACGTGTGAGAGATATATGCGCGACTGTGGCTGACGATGACGACGTGGGCGATGGCCTGCAGGCCGACGGGGCTGGGCGTCGTTGTCAATGGCCGTCCGTCCAGTCGACGTCGCCATCGTCGGAGCCGGGCTCCGATTTTTCAAGTGTTACTTGCAGAATGGAAAGGCAATCTCAGAGTTGCCTCACAAAAAGGATCTGTGACCGGTCCAAATCTGAGCCGAGAAGTTCGAGAACGGGGGCGCCCTTTTGACTTCGTTTTTGCAAGATGGGAACTGAACACTTTTGTTCGTTGGTTTTTTACTTCTTTCTCTTTACTTTATTTTAAGAAAAAAGTTTCTTTCTCATGTTGAAAAAACAAAGTCAAAAATTCGTTGAACAATTCTAATAGTAAAAATATTTCACAGTCAAATCAACAAAACCACTAGGCAAACATTTCATGAGAAACATCCTATTAAAAATTTGTAGAAATTGAAAAATGAAAGGCAAAACACGATGAAAACGATGAAAAATACGATAAAATACGATGAAAACGTTCAGTGACAGGCAAAGCCTCCAGAATAGGCCATGGATTTGAATTAGGTCTCAAATTCTGGAATATTTGTATGGGTATCCTGCCTGAACATCGGTATGCGGGAGCCAGTTGACGCTAACTTCATTATTTTGTTGACTTGCCAGGAAAAGTGATCAGGTCGGTCCGGCCATTTGCAATGAGGTGTACGCTCATGCATTCGTCTTGAGACGATGAGCTAGAAACCTGCTTTCCGTATCTGCTAAACGGTGCTCTGATCAGAGTTACGGAAGTTTTCTCCTCTACACTGTATGGGCAACTAGTACCCAAACTTGCAAGGAACTGCTCGCAAACTCGTCATCGAGGCAGCTAATGGCAAGCGCTGATAAATTACGCTAAGTTTGAAGCTTTTCGGTCGCATTGCCAAAAAACAAAAAAACAAACTCTCCGAGAACCGTTCCCACGACCTCTTGCCTGTGAGTTCGGGGCACTGCCACTGCGCTTCATTGCTTTATAACTACGTTCAGAGAATCGTTTAGCAGATAAGGAAGGCAGTTCTGAGCTTCAGCGCCTTGAGGATACAGTTCTTTGCAAATGGCGCGACTGACCTGATGACCTTCCTGATTGGAAACATCAGTACAAAGTAAAAATCGCGGCAATGAATACTGCCTCATGATGGACCGATACCGACCGCCAGCTGACGATATGGGCGCCCTTACCCTAGACGTCGTGCATTGAAAGAGATTAATAAAGTGGCTAAAGAAGACCGCGACTTCAAGAGTTAATCAGTGCTGCAAGAAGGAGGAGCTTGTCACTCATCGGATTAATCAAGAAGGGGAGCGAAGCGGCGCAAACTTGACTCACTGTGCTTGCTGTGGAGGAGTACAAGCGAGTTTCTGAGAGGAATCCTAAGCGAAAAGTAGGAGCGAAGACCGTCTAGAATTGGGTCAGAAATATTGAAGCAACGATTTTGCAAGATTTATCGAATAAATTGGAGCATTCACTCCATTAAGGAAGGTCTTGTGCCTGCTTCCTCCCTTGCCCCCTCCACCCCTTCCCACCCCAACAGAAGGCTATAGACAATTTGTCCATGGCCAACCAAATGTGGTCAGATTCAGCGGGATGAGAAACTGGGAGCTACATAGAGCAGGCGAGGAAAAAGAAAGGCCATCGACGTCGCGAATGCCGCATAGATGCTGCGCCAAGCCATTGATATAGCCAAGGCTATTTATAGGCAATTAACGGCCGTAATAGCAAGTGCATTAAGAACGACGATTTCTGGAAGGTTCGAAGTTTAAAGTGCATTAGAGCGGCCGCCGCCGTCGGGCGCCGTCTTGGTTTTCAGCCGGCCAGCAAGTGGGTTGCGCCTGCGATCCACGTGCCCACCACGTGGACCGCCCCGGCGCCACACTCTTTGAAAATGTCTGCCCTCGCCCGTCGATGGCGGATGTTGCGGGTGGCCGTTGGTGTTCGATGCGAAATGGTCGCCGTACACACACTCAAATCCCTAGAGCTCTAGCTAGCGCTACGAAACCCTAAGAAAGCAACAAATGTGTGCGAAAACCTTAGTTGGTCACAATTCTTAGATTGGTCGTAGTTCCAAATGATATTGAAATAATGGTGGAAAAAATTCAATATTTCCTATTCCCTCCCCGCCCCTCCGTTTGTGTGACATTTCTACTATGACATATGTTTGCGTGCGTCGCTGTCACAGCGTTGAAAACAAACGTTCAGAGAATGATTTTGACGAACATTCTTCGAAGAAAAGCAAAGTTAAAAAGCGGTGAATTCAATATCATTTAATCAGCTGCTGACGGGTTTGGCGTATGGCTCAAAATGCCGCGTCGTGACCCTTTTGTAGATCGGATCCCTTCAAACATTCACGATCTTGGAAAGCTTCAAGAACTATA